TTATGACTTTCTGAAAGGGCTGTCCAATTCACAATGCCCCTAAAAATGAACAGAGATGCTAGTTTTTCCCTACCAGGAGTGACAGTACTCAAACGGGCAAAATAGGTAAATAATATAGAGACAAAGGGGCAGGGAACTCCAGAATTCTATTAAGAGACAGTAAAGAGAAAAAGTCTGAGCAGAAGTTTCAAGAATGGAGGTGTGAGAAAAGTTGGAACTGTTATAGGCCCTGATCACATGGTGAGCACTGAGCCACACAGGTACACTGAAGGATTGCAACAAAGTGCAGGGTTGAAGGGGAGCGCTGCAGCCAATCAGACACACGAATCCCCATGTGATGGATCACCCATGCTACATTTGGGGAGAAAATTACCAAGTGTAGAAACTTTGTGAAACATGTATGTTAAGGGTTGCAATCATGAAACTATGTCTGAGAAGCTGCTTGATAAATGTGAAACTAAAAATGCCTTGTGGGTCCTCTAGTTTCCCTTAACACAGGACAAGGAAACTGGAGAGTTCCACTTACCTCCTAAATCTTCTAGGACAGTAAAACTCATGTTGATGAATGTAAAGCCCTCTTCTCTGTTGGGTGACTGGTAGAGAATTTTGTTCTCCTAAGCACCTTGGACCAGTATTCCTCCTGTCTTCAGTGACAACTCCCTCTCTCCACCTCATCACCCGCAGACAAACCCTCCTGAGGGGGAAAACAGCTCTTCCTACTTTTGGTTGGCCTGGGAATTGGCACAGCCTGGTAGTGTAGACTGGTTTTTAATCTGGAATAGCAATAAAAATCTGCACTGAGTCTCTAATTGTCTACTATCCGCTGATGTAAACCGACCCATGAGAGCAAGGTTGTTTTGTTTCACAGATGGTCTCAAGGTATGGCATCCTACCTACTAATCTGACTTGCTATTCTTCAATATGGGCAATTCCTGATTTTAAACTTACGTGCTATGCAACAATTCAAGGCAAGTTCCCTAGCCAAGACCCCATCCCCAGGTTATTTCCCTGGGTAAATTTCCTAAAAGTGTAATTATTGGATCAGGGGTAGAAACTCTCAAGACTTCTGACAACTCTTAACTTCCATCCAGAAAAGCTGTATAGCTTATACTCACCTCAGCTTTAAATTAGCAATCAGACCCCATGCACTCCTGCCTGTGCTGTTATATAAATGCTTTCTGATAGGCAAAATGGCATCCTCCTACACCAGCATACAGCTAAGTGGTCATGAGCAGACCTATAGCCAGACCACAGAGGCTCAGGATTGCAGCTCACTTAGTTGATAAAGATCACACAGTGAGGTACTCTAGGCTTTAGTTTCCTCATCTATAAAATAGATATTACAAAGGTACCTTCTCCATAGACTCGATTAAATGAACAAATACATACAAAAGCACTGAGAATGTCCTTACACTTGGAAAGCTCTATTGTTCCCATTTGAATTTTCTAGTTACTATTAGATTCATTTTTTCATTGATCATCAGTTCTTCTTTGATGAACTGTTTTTATCATATCCTTTCCCTTCTAAGACAGTCACCTATATTTTCTTCATCTTTCTAATTCTTTACATTTACACTCTTTAACCCATTTGGAATTTATATTGGTTTATGTTGGGAGGGAATTCTGTCACCCTTCCCCAGATATATGGTGTCCGTTAAAACCGCTTATTAAATAGTCCATCTTCTTATCTTTATTCTTCTGAAATGCGGTCTCTACCACATGGACACCTCAGTTACTAAGTTTACTAAATGCATGAGAAAAACACTTGTATTTCTCCTTTACTCTCGTAAAATACTTCTGACACCAGACATGTGGATTTCCCACACCAAATAATTATAGGACACCAGCTGGGTACCCTAGAATTCAACTCTCATGCTAACTAGAGTTGGTGCAGACCCCAGAGGTGAAGGGCTCAGTCCTACAAGAAGGCCCACATTTCCCCAATGCCCCAGATCCCAACTTCAAGTCCAGGTGGTCACCTGTACCTCTCACTTACTAGCTATAAATGAGGGTTCCTGTGGGTTTGGCAATTTACTTGAATGGCTCACAGAATTCAGGGAACCACCAAATGTTTGCCAGTATTATAAAGGATATAATAAAGGATAAAGATAATGGCCAGATGTAGATACCTAGTCTGAGAGTAAGCTTCTGTCCCTGTGAAGGTGGGGTACACCACCCTCCTGGCAAGTGTATTTTTTTCACCAACCTGGAAGCTCTCCAGATCCCTTAGTATTGGAATTTTTATGGAGGCTTCATCAACATAGGCATGTTCAATCATTAACTCAGTCTCTAGTCCCTCTATTCTGAAGGATGTGGTTGGGTTGAAGTGCAAGCTTCTCATGACAGCTTGGTCTTTCTGGCGACCAGCCCTCATCCTGAAGCTATCCAGGAGCCCACCAAGAGCTGCTTCATTAAAAGACACCCCTGTCACCCAGGAAATTCCAAGGAATTCAGTAATTTTGTATCAGGAACCAGGGTCAAAGACCAATTAAAACAAAAGACGTTCCTAGTGTGGTCTTAGGAGCTCTATGCCAAGAACAGGGGACAGAGACTTTTATATGTTTTCTATCATTTCTTTATCCTATTGTATTCTTGTTTTTTAAGCCAGTATGACACCAGTTTAACCTCTGTTAAGATGAACTGTCATATCTTTCATTTCCACTTTGGACCCACATGTGATATAAATTCTGTCCATCATAAATTAAGTTCTGCGTATCAGAGCAGTTATCAAAGATTAGCTCCTAGCAATAGGTGTTCTGAACACCAAGCACTGGGCACAGCCATCCTTGCTGGACTTATCTGGCATCTTTCCCCTCCTATTGCAGTGCCTCGACCTGCCTCTTCCTGGCCCTTTGAGCCTCCTTTAATATGTAATCACATGGAAGCAAAAAGCTTTTCAGTTCTTACCCTACTTCAGGACATAAATGACCAACGAAGTGCAGATTTCATTTTGTGCCTTTTAAGATGGCCACTAAGTTAGCTGGCAGCGCCAATGTGGTGTGCCAGATGCTTCCATGTAGTGTTCCTGAGAGTCCAAGGAAATCAAATCATTAAGTTCTGCACATTAGTGCAGTCTGGAGTCCAGGTGCATGGTGGGGAGTGGGGATTGTCTATTTCTCTATTGATACTTTCTTCCCTACAGTCCCAGTCAAGGGTCAAGGGCATGATAACCCAGAGCTTGTTTAATTGGGAATACAGGGCAGCTGCCAAGTGCCCAGGCTCAAGGGAGACAGGGAGGGTGCCTGACTGGAATGCTCAGACTGGGTTAGGGTTAGCATCCCGGGTGATTCTCACACAGCAATTTTTATTTCAAAACCAACCTTAAAATTATTTTTGGTAGCAGATAAAGGAAGAGCTATTTTAAATAAGAACTTACTAGAAAATGAAGCTTCTATAAAACTTTCCCTTTTTTTTCATAGCTGTCTACTATCAGTGTAACCTATTACTCTGCCTGAAGACAGTCATACCTGCTCTGTCCCCCAATACCACAGAAAGAACTTTACACAACTTTTGACAACGTGGGTAGTTTCATCCTGAATAAATACTACACCTGTATGCCACCATCAATAACAAACGGGACATTTACTAAATGCTTACACCAAAATTAGAAATACTAGCTAGAGACTTAGAAAACTTTTTTTAAAAGATTTTATTTATTTGACAGAGAAAGAGAGAGAGTGAGAGAGCACAAGCAGGAGGGGCGGCGAGGGAGAGGGAGAAGTAGGCTCCCCGCTGAGCAGGAAACCTGACATGGGACTCGATCCCAGGACCCTGGGATCGTGATCTGAGCCGAAGCCGCCTAACCGACTGAGCCACCCAGGCGCCCCTAGAAAACATTTCTGATTGGTGACACACCAAAATGGAAGATGATACTGCAGCCTTTCCATTCAGAGCCTATTCAGACAGCTGAATTCCAGGCCAGTCAGATCCATGGAAGGTAGCAAGTATGGCTGAACAAAGAACTAAGCTATTTGCAGTGGCCATTGATGGAATCTGTGAAGCTATCTTTTCTGTAAGGTAAGAATAAGTTCATCTGGCTGAGTGCTGTGGCCTCTCCATTCACTCTGTGACCCAGCCACTGCCGAACACATGGCACCACACTCATCCTGAATGTAGAGATGTTTTTCTCTCCACTGAGTGTTAAATAAGCATTTGTATCAGTACTCTGAATTCTCAGAATTTGGAAACATGTTTGTTGATGACAATGAAGAAGGGAAGAGACTTAAAATTGTTTTAGTTCAAGGAGAAACTTACCCCATAAAGGCCTCTTTTCCAGGGGTCATGTTTTGTTTGTGGAGAAAAAATTCCTAATCTAACATAAGGCCTCTTCCTAAATATGGACTCTCATAGTCACTGGTTAAGAAAAGGATATCTTTAAGAAAAGTTTGAATGATAATGTTAAGTAAACAGCAAAAAACTAATTTTGAAAATGATTTGCAACGAGTACAGCTGCCCTCTGCAGCTAATAATCTTACCTCCCTCTGTAGCCACTGCCAACTTGGTAGTTGGGTACTAAGATGGTGTGGGCATGTGCAGGTTTAGAACCTAATATAGTTAAACATACAACAGCTAATTTACCTCACTTGTTATACTGTGATTAAACCTACTACGAAAATACAATTTCCCAGTTTATATGAAAATGGTTTAATAATAGTGAAACTCAGAAACTAGTAAAATTAACAAAGTATATTGGCTAAAGATACTTTTTCCAACCACGGCAAATATAATGCAGACACTTATCAATGCAAAGTCTTTAATCCCTCCATCATGTACTCTGAATCCTACTTACTATTTAATATGAAACATGATATAGTCAGAGGTGTCTTTGGCAGAATAATCACATGCATCAATGTGCCAGACACAAGCATTTTCTCCCTTTATACTTACCTGACCGAAGACATCTGATCAAAGACAAAAATCAACAATTTTAATAAGTAGTTTAGTTTATCAATAAGAATCTAGAAGGTAACAAAAGGTACAAAGATAAATCTTTTAGGAAATTAAGTTAAAACAAATAAAATTTACATTTTATTAAATCAGCAAATATAATCACCTGTGTATATTTTTACTAGCAAAAAATAATGATACTGATGATAAAGAAAAAAAAAAAGCACCTCAGACCAGAATACCATAACAAAAAGTTTTGTGGAAGCTGCATTTTATTTGAAAATCCACCCATTTTTGCTAACATACATTTTAATATTGTAAACAAAAATAGAATCTGCAGAGACAATGCAACAAGTATGCTTAAACTCATGTACAGAATTGCTTTCCTACAACGAACTGTCCTTCTTAAGGCCCCTCTCAACCAAAACGTTAAGATGTATTTACACAAAGCACCGATCAACAGTGCAGTTTAATTCTTCGTTAACTAAACTGTTGGCTAGACATTAACTTTAAAGATACTATTTCCCCTTATTTAAAAGGTACATGATCATAACAAGGCATGAGCCAAATAAAAGGTTTCAAGGATTTTGTCCCCTCCCTCCCCCCATAACACCTCCCAGAGTTTTACTGAAAAGAAGGAAAGTCTTGAAGTGAAAGCAATTCCTCACATTCATTTTGGAAAGGCCCTAATGTCAAATGGAAAATAATGACATGCCAAGCACAAGCAGTAAAGTTCCTTCCCAATGCACTAATGCTGAATTTAAAATGTAGTGCTTTTCCTAGTCAGTGAACTGTTCCCTTGCAAAATCCTAGGCACAGAATTGACTATAAGGATTAATGCATTTATAATGCTTCCCTAAATCCCATAGAGACTGAGAATTCTTAAGCGATTCAGACCTATGGACTTGCCTTAAAATATTTAGTGCTCTGTATGTCAGCTGAAAAGCATTCTGAATCAGATTCACTTTTATGGATAAAAATCAAACATACTGTGTACATCCATACTCATTTTCATAAGGAGGTCTGATATAATATTAATGTTACGTAAATTGATAATCATAAATAAATACAAATACTTAAGGAATGTCTACTGCAAACTGAATATATAATTTTTTTTAAAAGAAAAGTTAATTTTAGTTACTGTTTCTGTATCTGTGAGGACTGGAGAAAAGAAAGATACTGCATAATTAAGAATTATGATTTTGATCCCCCCCAAAAGAGTCCTATTGCATTACAGTAAAGGACAAGCTCTTCTCTCCAGGCAGCTTTTCCAAATACAAATTTCACACTTTCCAAATAAGGGCTTTCCTTGGTAGGTTACTGATTATGGGTATTAATAAGAGTTGAAAGAACTGAAGGGTTAGTCACCAAAAAGACAGATCTTAGTCTGAAATCATGGCAATTCTTGGCTTTATAAACTGTATTGATACGTTCTCCTATAGACTAGTCCCAATTTCCTTCATGGGCCTTCACTGGGTTACTGTAGCATTCTAATGGAAGAAGAGAGTTTTAAGAGACAGCAGTTTGGATTTTGCTGGAAGTGAAAGTATTTGCTGCTTGAGCACTTGTCTTTTTGAAATAATTCCATTCTCTTCCATCTAGTTACATAAACTGTATCTGAAAAAAAAAAAAAAAAAAAGAGTGTAAGTTCATTCACTGCATTGTAAGATGTCTTCTCACAAATAAAAATGCTCTGCAGCTTTTACCATTCAATTGGCCCAGAAATATTTACTGAATGTTTATCACAACCCTAATTACAAAACCAAGTCAGTATCAGCTCATCATGTGCCAGAACTCAGTATCTGAAGCATAATTAGAGGGACTTCCAAATGTATCTTTCTAATTACTAAAAACCAAGAGACAGGGGAAGAAAGAAAATAAATGAACAATTTTTCAATGACAAGTTCAGAACATCTGTCCATGAACCCAAATATTCCATGTGAAAATCTCATTCAGAGAAGCACAATCTGACTTATTTCCAAATGATATCATAAAATTAGGTAATTAAGGGAAGAGTAATATTATGCTTACTAAATCATTTCTTTACTAATATAGATAAAAATCCGAAAGATCTACAAAGGAATAGTTTTCAATAGGGCATCACTGTTTGCTCAATTATTTCACTCAGGATATCCCTTAAACTGTTCATCCAAAGACATTACTGAAGTAGATGTGCTAATAAACTTGTCAAATCAGAAGATTTTTCAACTTTCAAAGATCTAGAAGCTCTATCTACACTGGGGGCTAGAGCACCAAGAAGAACAAATTTCACCACCTTCCAACAAAAAGAGGCAGTGTGGATCAAACAGAATTCTAACAAAAAGGGCATAAAGTATTCGCTTGCCCTTAACTTTAAAAAAAAAAAGTCTGTTTTGGGGAAAATGTTACTATTTTTAAATGAAAAGGCACACATAAATATAACACTTTAAAGAAACTGTTAAAATGAATTCTTCACAAATCATGTTCAGGGACATTATATTCAAACTAGAGATGCTCCTAGTCAAGCTCTAATCCAACATGTAGAATTGCATTGTTCTCCATACAACTTTTAAGACTGACGAAAACACCCAGTTTTTAAGGGTGGTATATTTGATCCCATCCATCTGCTGTGAGCAGTGGATGCTTGTATGTAAACATGAGAGATGGTTCTTTGATTTCACACCTTCTAATTACGTTAAAGGTATTTTCCAAAAGTTGTTTGTCCTTAGGTCCTATTTTGATCTATTTTTATTCTTCACCTAAAGAATAGAGGAGGAGGAGGAAGAGCGAGAACCTAGAGTTCTTTAAAGAAAGAAAGGAGAAGAGTGAAATGTGTTTAATATTTGATAAACTTTTAAAGTATTTAAGTCCCCATCTCACCCAACAATCAGCAATACCTAAAGTGATTTATAAGAAATCCTCCAAAGAGAGCTCTGCAAAAGGGTCCTTTCCTGAAGCTCTGTGAGGACTGTGACTGGAGGGGCTGGATGCTGCCGACAGCTAGGGGAAAAGAAGACAGAGAGAGGGAAAGAAAAAAAGATCTCTGAATGACAGAACATGAAAGCAGAAAATGTAATGAAAGAAGAAGTGGTTTTTGTTTTGTCATCTTTAATAAATATAAAGGCAGCCTTTGTAGAAAATGGAATTATTATAAAACAAAAGTTTCAATCACATGTCAAGTTAAAGGTATCCAATGGCATGTGTTTTTCAGAAAACAAATTCTTGTTTCTGAAATTCCAAAGGAATAAAGTCTTTTTACTCAAAAATGTTGATAAAAGCTGACCCACAGTTAAGACTTCTATTGTGGGTGGGGTAAGAGGGGAAGAAAGTACATAATTGTGATTTTTTCTTTTTGAGGAAAGATGGCTTCCTGTGTCCAGGCTATTTGTCAAAAGCTATGCAAACTCTGAACTCAGTCCAGACCCAATACATCCATCTATAATATTCTTTCCTTCCTTCCTAAGAGGTGGAAAGTCTTGTCCTCAGTGCTCATACTGTTTTCACATAGAGTTGTCTCCTGCTCTTTCTCTGGATGTGCTATAGCTGATGCATATACTCTGGGAAGTAAAAGTGACTTTAGAGGTCACCTAGTCTAACTGCCCACATATGCCCCGAAAATAGGGAATACTTCAGATCACTGATTTTGTTTTCTACTTGATTACATTTGCTTGATTCTTGGAATTAGCTGCTATCGTTTCATTTGAATATACGGTGAGGCAAACAGTTTATTAAACTCAATAACGTATCATTAGTATTCCCTCAAAGGCAGCCAGTTCCTGAAGAATAACAATGTTCATTTTCATATGTGTAGCTCCTTCACCAAACCTAATTTGAATATTTCAAACCAAACACAAATCCTTTTAGTTTGGAACAAACTTTTAATTTTTTTTTTCCTCCCCCTGCATAAGACTGCAGAGGCATGCAAGCGTTATGAAATGAGCTGTCCTTTTAGGGAGTTCAAGTGAATATTAAATTGAAGTTGACTAAGTGGGAATATTTTCAATTCATATTTCCAACATTTGAATCCTGTAACGGATTTCAATCCTCATCATCTGTTTTTGCTGGTTCAAAGTGATCTCATTTCTACCTTTTGATTTGTTTAAGAAAAGCACTACAGAGAATGAATAGCCAATGACTTTCAGCAAATATTACATCACAAGTATATGCACTTTGTTGTTGTGATGCCAAAAGCAATTTAAAGGTTTGTAAATCATCTTCAGTTATTTTAGTGGTTGAGCTATTGTCCTAATCCGTACCTTGTTCTCAAAAATAAATGTTCAAAGACAATGGAAAGAGACAATGGAAAGGATGATGAACTTACACAGGCAGCTACAAATGGGAAGACGGAGCAGCAGTCTGGATTTGGGGATTCAAGTAACAGCCGGTAGAGACAAAGTAAGGTACAACACAATTGGAAGGATGTCTCCTCCTCCCCACTTCAGACCAACCATGGATGACCATTCAGAAGCAGAATGATTTTAAGTAAAGTAATCACCAGTCACTGAGCTGGACAGAGTCTAAGACTAACTGGGTTTCTCTACAAAACAGATTTTCTCTTTCACTTGAAGTTCAAACAAAAACACCAAAAATCCCTTATTGTGGATAGAGTGCATCCAAAATCTCAAGTCTCTTACGAGAGCCCCACAGTAAAATGTCTTAGTCATGTTTTCATGAGGATGGCAGTCTGAAGACCCGACAGTCCCAGAGGAAAATGCACGAAGAATATGCTAAAAGGGAACACTTCTATTCTTCTCAATGTGTGAGCGCATACTGCTAGAGAGAAGTCCTACAGGCTTACAAATGTTAGAGGATCAATTTCCTTGGGGAGAAAAAAGTGCCAGTTTCTAACTAATGCTTCTATTCTCACTTAAATTGGAAAAATCCACACACCTATAACTTTCATTTATAAATATGTAGCCAAATTAAAACATGAAAAAAAAAAAGACCTAATACCCCTGTAATAAGCTCCATATCATCAAACTCATCTCAAGCACATGAAACAATGGCCCAAACTGGTTTGGCTGACCTCAGTGTGCTAAAGGCAGGGCCACGAAGCAGCCCTGGACCACCTGTGCCCGCCTCTTCCTGTCACCTGCATCAAAGCACGGGCACACCATACACTGGTGAGAAAGTAGCCAACTCTGAGAGTAAATAAAGAAAAAGAAAAGGAAATATGCTGCAATAGCCCAATTACTGCTCAAGGAAAGCAGGAAGAACAGAAGAGCATGAAGGGGCCAACAGGATCCTGGTGGGTAAGAAGCAGCGGGACTGGAAAAGTCTGAAAAGTCACCTGTAAGTAAAAGAGCTGACCTTCCTTTACTTATCATTCTATGAGTAAATCAGACTATGTAGGGCTGCTAGTACTAGGCGTGTGTGCTCTCTTAAAAAAAAAAAAAAATCCTACTACAAATATGCCATCACAAAAAACCCAAAACATGGGGTGGGGAGGGAACGCAGTCAGTTAAGTGTCCAACTCTTGATCTCCACTCAGGTCTTGGTCTCAGGGTGGTGAGTTCAAGCCCCATGTAAGGCTCCATGCTGGGCAAGGAGCCCTATTTAAAAAAAAAAAAAAAAAAAAAATCCAGGGGCACCTGCGTGGCTCAGTTGGTTGAGTGTCGGACTCTTGATTTCGGCCCAGGTCATGATCTCAGGGTCATGGGATTGAGACCCATGCTCAGGGCAGAATCTGCTGAGGATTCTCTTGCTCTCCCTCCCCCCACTTGAGCTCTTCCCTGCCCATAAATATATAAATGAAATCTTTAAAAACTAAATAAAACATTTATTCATTTTATTTTTTTTCATTTATTCATTTATTTCAAATACCTCCACACCAATTCCCACAGAGCTAAAAAATTAGCACAGTTATTATTCAAATCAAACTGACCTATACCACACCTGAATATGCTTTTAAAGAGTAGTCACTCTTACTGTTAAGTCTAATACAGACATACTTAGTCTTCCTTTCTCATTTTATAGGAAAATAAAATATTGAGAAACAGTGAAAGAAGAGCAGCATATAAATAGAAATACTAAGATTTATAATTGATGATGGCAACTCTTAGCTGAAATTCCTCCACTCTTTTCCTCCATTCTAATCAACCTTTAAAATATAATGTTGAAAGGGAAAAAAATTCTAATGTTACCAAAAATCTTTGCTTTTATGTCAAAAGCAAAGATTTTTTTGGTTGTAGCATGTGTTTAGTATAATAAAGGCAGAGTACAGAAAGCATAACTTTAATAAAAGTCAAACATACTTAAGAGATTTAAAAAAAAAAGAATTCTATTGCTAAACCAAATGTCATAAAACAAAAATGGTTACTCCTTCATCAGACTCATGTTCAACACCAAAGAAAGAAAATTTCAGGTCGGAACAAGAAAGTAACAGCAGTCTCAAAGTGAGACTAGTGCAACTAAAAGCTTATAGGAGAATAAAGAATTGAATTATTTAAGGATAAACTTCTGACAGATCACTGGCTGTGCTTAACATTCTTAGAGAAGAAACTCTGCCACATCTTTTCTTTCCATTTGAATTCTGCAGTCACCCAAAAGCCTGGATACCACATAGCAATGCTGTAGAGACTCACTTTGTCTTTGTTAGAGAAGCAAAGTCAACATTTTAAGAGAAAAATGGGTATACTTCCTTTGGGATGACAGAGCCGAGTTTTACAGAAAGATAGCACTGAATCTAATCCTGGCTCTTCTATAAATGGGGCTTAGATATATCTAGACCCAATATTCTATCTCCCTTTAAGACTGTTTTGAGGAGGGCGCCTGGGTGGCTCAGTTGGTTAAGCGACTGCCTTCGGCTCAGGTCATGATCCTGGAGTCCCGGGATCGAGTCCTGCATCGGGCTCCCTGCTCGGCAGGGAGTCTGCTTCTCCCTCTGACCCTCCTCCCTCTCATGCTCTCTGTCTCTCATTCTCTCTGTCTCAAATAAATAAATAAAATCTTTAAAAAAAAAAAAAAAGACTGTTTTGAGGATTAAATGAAAATATACAAAAAGCATCCAGTACACTGCCTGGCATATATTAGTAGCTCAAATAACAATAGCTCAAATACTAGTTCAAACTTCCCTATCACCTACAATCAAAAGCTTATCTATTCTTATATAAGAAGCCCAGCTCAAATGTCATCAAATCTGTGTCGCTCTTGCTCTCCACAGTGTTCTCAACACTGTTTCTCTTATAATGGTTCTTATTCTGCTATCAACCAGTCACATGTGTGTCCATATTATACTCACCCTTAGGCTCCTTAGATGTAGGAAACATATTTTACCTGTCTCTTGTTCAGAAACTAGCAATGACTTACACATAGTAAGCATTCTAAAACATGTTAAATTAAAATGCTTTTTGGTGATAAAACGAGCTCTGTATAAAAATAAAAATAATCTCCAAAGTAGGACATTAGAAGAAAATACTAGAACTTCTCTCTTAATTTTTACCTGTTTAACACTTCTATTTTTGTTTTTAAACGTACCTAATATATTGTTGTAGGAATATATAATTTATAGATATACATTAGCTATATGTACAAGGGTACATGCTTAAAAAATATTTTCCTGATAATGCTGTGCAATCAAAACAATTAAGAGACAGAAACACTGGTTATAAACTGAACACAGAGTTACAGAACATCAGAACAGGAAGTTGTTTTTGGATAATGTTTAGAACATGGCCAGGACACTAGTGGCATAACTGGATCCAGTTGCATAGAGATATAAATATACAGTGTAGCATTATTAAAGACAATGCTCTGGGGCGCCTGGGTGGCTCAGTGGGTTGGGCATCTGTCTGCCTTTGGTTCAGGTCATGATCCCTGAGCCCCAGGATCAAGCCCCGCATTGGGCTCCCTCCTTAGCAGGGCATCTGCTTATTCCTCTGACCCTCCCCCCTCTAGTGCCCTCTCTCTTCCTCTCTCTTGCTCTCTAATAAACAAAATCTTTAAAAGATGATGCTATTCCTCAGGTGTCTCTGGGAAGTATGGCTAAAAGAGAGGATTTC